AAGGGAAAGAAAAGAAATATAAAGGTCACAAGGAGGCAAGTGAAGGTCCATGTAGATAAAAGAATTAAATAAAGGATAAAGTTTCCTTTTGCTTATACATTCTTTAGACATCCTCAAAATTTAATTTGTTCCTTCCCCTTAATTTTGTGTTCGAGTTTGAGGCATGTTTCAAATTGATCATTTATTCCTTGTATGTGTGCAGTAGAATAACGCAGCCATGCAGCACTAGTAATAGTTATCATTTGAGGAAGGGTACATGAGTTTCTTTGTGTGTTTATTACAAGAATTTGATCTACCTAGGTTAGTGTCATTCTGTGTGTATCTTTTTTCAAGCAATCTTATAAGTTGTAAGCTGTTACCAGTTAATATCTGCTTCCTGTAACCAGTTCATTTTGTTTGTTTTTTCACCATTTAAACCTACTTCTTTATGATTTTGGGTATATTAGTGCAAGAGATATATGAACTGAATGCTATCGTTTCCTTAATTTCCATTATTACCATGAGTCAGCCAGTTTTGCACAGTTTTCTTGTTAGAATGTTTGAAACAGATATGTTGCAGACAACTATGCAAGGATCACTATAGATATCCTGGGATTGCCTTCGCTCTTTTACTTTGATCAACATTTTCTCAACAACAATCCTTTGCATCACGAAGTTGGAATAAACAAGTTTATATGTCAGTTATGTTAGCTGGATATTAAATTTTTTTTCTTGCATGTATAAATAAGGATACTTATGTTAAACACCTATAATGGCATTATGGCACTGGCTTGAAGATTTGTTTGCTTTTTTTTAGCTTCAACAATGAGATAAGGAAGAATGTGCATTTTGCGTAACATGCTATTACCTTGTATCTTTGTGAGTATGTCTTGCGGATAGTGAAAGCTTCTTATAAACAGATCATTTGCTCAGGCTTAAGTTCTGTTAGGTTACCTTTAAATTGGTCTTTTTAGAGCTCCTGAAATGCGCTTTTGGATTCCTGATTACCTCATTTCGGATTCCTGATTATTGGGAATCAGTGAAAAGGTGTAGCTTTTACTGATAGATGTATTCTCTGGTTGCATGAGGGCCGTTCCTAGTACTTAGGAAAGCCTCTTTTAAAATGGTTTCTCAAGGCATTTTGTGAGGATCTTAATTTTTCTTTGCTACCCTGGTTGTAATGTGCAGCTTAATGAGGCCGTTTTATGGTTATGAAGTTGCACTTTTGAGCTGAACAGAGACCATGTTAACAGGACAACAGCATTTCCATCTTTCTAGCTATTTTAGCTCTCTTAAAGTAAGCAGAGAGGGCCTTTAGCAGTATTGTGCTTCAAGTAGCTTGTATAGAAGGAAGCAAAAAATGTGTTTAGAGCATTGTTAATGGCTAGGCATGTTAGCCATACATTATATACTGTTAATTATTAGTCGACATTGTTGCAAAGATATAGTTTTGTTTGAATTGTGCAGCAGTTTTCAGTTATATGTAATCTTTAGGAATCCCTAAAGATGAGTTTCCGAGTATGTATTTAGTACCATTCAAACTTCGTTATGTTTCTTACTTTTACAAGTGCTCATGTGATTGCTCATGTGATGTAGGCTTATTTCCTTGTGCAACTACAGTGTTTTTCCATCAGTTTAAGTAAAGGCTATTCTATATTGTGCAGAATTTCTTTTAAGGATCCGTTGTTCTTCTGTTGCATTATAAAAGTATACAATGATAAGTTATATGCTTTGTCTTATATATCTGTGTTTCTTTGTAGGTGCATGTCATGCAAGTATGAGATGACAGCAGCAGATTTTGACGAGTGGGCATACCGTCAGCTTGAAGACTCTAGCCATTTGTTGCATGGGGTAGTGCATGCTAATGGCTATGGCCATCTTCTCAGAATTAATGGTAGAGAAGGTGGTTCAAAGCATCTAACAGGATGCGATGTCATGGGCTTCTGGGATCGCTTGTGTAAAATGCTTCATGTCAGGTATGAACTTTTTGGTTTTCATTTTGTTTGTTTCTTCACTCAACTGTTATTTCCTTCCCCTAAGCCCTTTTTACAACAACTCTGTGCTCTCTCAAACCTATAACATATAGCACGATCACCTAATTGAGCGAACAAACGTAACTCACCATGTGGGCAGCTGAGTTAGGATGTTACATGGAAAATCTAATGGAGGCACTAATTTCAAATAACTAATAGGAATTGAGGGTCTAAATAACATTTCAATGATTGATAAATTATTTTTGGAAAAAAAAGAGATTTGAGGGATCAATATCTAAAACCCTATATTCTATAAAATACGTGAAATAATTGTAGGGTTCTGCACCATCTGAATTTGATCCTGAGCTTGTTTGAACTAGAAGGGTAGTAGGAAGGTCTTCTAAGAATATAATATGCATAGCTAGATAACTGTCCCCGCGCAGCCATGCCGTCTTCAAAAGATAGAATGGTGAAGCTGAGCTTAGACGGTAGATGATAAGCTTTCTGCTATTTTTAAGTTACAATAACTGTAATCATTTTTATGGGGACATTTGTGCTAAATGCGTCATCATAGTTTTGATAATGTAAGGTTTGGGATGACATTTTATGCCCATCTTGCCCATTTTATCTCCTTGGAATCTGACCAAACGTTTTTTTTATTATCCATTTCATTCTACACAAGACAACACATGACCGTTGTGCTTTCCGCAGGTAGATATAAATTTGGTTTTGTACTAGTATATCCCTTTATAGAGAATTATATTCTATTTTTATTACCCCCTAATAGTGTTGGTAGGGGATATATTTTAGGGTTTGATCACAACTTTTGGGAATAAAAAGATCTACAAATTTAAGCGATATCAGATTTATAGTAATTTTCCTGATGTACAAGCATTTATATGTTGTTTTATACAATTGCAGAAAGGTAACAGTTATGGACATATCAAAGAAGTATGGGATGGAGTACCGTCTACTCCATGCAGTAACTGCTGGTCATCCATGGTATGGAGACTGGGGCTACGAGTTTGGTGCTGGAAGCTATGCTCTCACTTCTCAAGCTTACCAAAAAGCTGTTGACACTCTGTCCAATATGCCCTTGTCATTTCTCTTCTCCCATTCCCGTTCACTACGCACCCCGGTGCAAAACACAGTATCATTATACTGGTCTCTTGCAGATCGCAAACTGGAGACAGTGAGGGACCTTTTTTGTTATGTGACCTATCTACTTCACAAGTCTCATGAGAACCCGTCACAATCCGAAACTAACTTAAGAAAGAATCTTAAAGATGATGCCACGAGAGGAATATTATGTGCATGGGGCAAACATGACATTGAAAGGGCTGAAGAGGTGATGGTGAAAGTTCTCCGAGCTGTAGGTGGTAGTCGGTGGGTGACTTGGAAATCTCTTCGAGGAGCAGCATGCCGAGCTGTTGCATCACCTGAGTTACTTGATTATTGCCTCAAGGGACTAGCTCATAAGGTCACTAATGATGGTATGCATGTTGCTGTCCGGTGCAATCCTGATAACAATGCCATAGAATACAGGTAATCTCTCTACTCCCATTATATTTTGGTATTTTATTATTATTATTATTTTTTAATGTTCAAGCTGCTTGATGACTACTACTCATTTGTAGGCTTGAAACTGGTCCAAACAAACAGTGTCCAAAAGAAAATGTCATTAGACCATCAGCTGACCAATTATTGCATGATCTTAAATTCCTGTATGATGCACTTCTAAACCCAACCACGATGCAATCCTACAAACCTGACAGCATTAGGCAAACTGCATGCAGCTCAGCAGCCAAACTTCTCGACTGCAAACGATTCATCAAGAACTATGAGGAACCCATTTCAAAAACCAGACCGTTGAATCCATTTTCACTACGCATCTGGTGCCATGTTGAACTAGTAAACCAACCGAAGGACTACATTGCCCCACCACCAGAGCTCCTAATCCTACCTGCAACCGCCACAGTTGCTGATCTTAAGCTTCATGCTACAAAAGCTTTCCAGGATACTTACCTAATTTTTGAGAAGTTCCAAGCCGAAGAGCTTGTTGACCATGGAGATGTCGATGACTGTATTGATGTCAGACTTTTGGTTGGCGCAAATGAGAGTATAAAGGTCAGGGGAAGGTGTTTTGGGGATGAGTATAGACTGGGACAGTTCAGGATGGAGAGGGGGCTAGAGAACTGGACAGTGGACTGTGCATGTGGAGCCAAGGATGATGATGGTGAAAGAATGCTAGCCTGTGATTCTTGTGGAGTGTGGCAGCACACTAGGTGCGCTGGTATCAGTGACTTGCATGCTGTGCCTGTGAAGTTCGTTTGTAGAAAGTGTTCATGTGCGAGCAAGTCTAAAGCTCGTAGTGGTGGAAAAGGCAAGGCCAATGGAAGATACAAGGTGAGCACCTCAAATGGTAACAAGAGATGCAAGGATGAAGTTGCAGCACCTGCTATGGATGGAAGGGCATACGGGCGGATGACTACAGTGGGGTGAGCTTAACATGGAAAAAAAAAGGTTTGTACATAAGAGAGGATAGAGAGTAGGAGAATATGAGGCTTGATGAATGAGCCCTGGCCTGCCTGTATTAGTTGTTGTATGGCCTACTTTTGAACAATTTTCCAAGTGCAAAATATCCTTTTTTTTGCCTTAATGAAAATGGTGCCTCATCGTGTGCCATGTGCCAAATCTGCAATGTTTTGGTCAAATGTATTATGTTAAATTTATTATGAAAATACAATCAAATTTGGCAGCTGAATTCACATAATGACTTGTAAAGTAGCAGAAACTGGCAACCAACCTGTTAAGCTTGCCTAGCTGGTTCTTCTTCTTGCACAAGGGAGTCAAAACGATTCATTTGCACAAGTTCACTGATAAATTAATCAGAACATTGTAGCCAAATACACAGCCAATACATCTCACTGAGCCTACATAGCAGGTCCTTTTGTATTTTCACTTTGTGAGGATCTGAGTGAAGAATTTGAGGGTTTTGTCTGGAAAGGAAGCAGTAACTGGTCTTCCGTCAAATGTTGTTGAATGAGAGCTCTAGACAGCATAAAGTACCTCGTTACCACCTGCTTGCACAAGCCAAGCAGCTTTGGTACATCAGTTGCTGTCCAATCTTCTGCTTTATCCATGAAGGGATAGTTGTCACCTGCAGTTTCACATGAACAAATTTGTTGTGGTTATCTATTTAACAAAAAACATAATTTTTTCATGTACTACAAGGAAATATATCTGACAACATTCATTCTGTGTCCATTAAAATTTCAAGAATTTCAAAGTTATAAATATGGTTATCAAGATTCCCAAAATTATAAACATGTTATGAAAATTGAGGATATGAATAGACTCATTCACATACAGATCATGGGATTTATTTTTTTTATGAAATCTCATATACAGGACTATAGAGTGACAGTAAGGATGACTTATCTGTCAACTTTTCCACTGTCACCCTCAAAAAAACCAAACTCTGTCTTATCTAAAGTTACCAGGGTACGGTTAACCTCTGGATTTGAAATCACTGATTATCTCACAAGAACATTCTGTAGTGTAGTATCAGTAAGAGGAGAAAGGGTTAAGTATTTACATCCATTGTTCGAGGAACCCTAGATGCTGCATCAAAGCAAAGGGTCATCAAGAAGGGCATTCTAGTGCGCTGTAGATTCTTATCCAAGACTTGTATCATTTGTCCAAAACTAAGAAAATTAATCAATTGACAGCTAAACTATTCCAAGGGTGTGTGATCTTAACAAAATTCACTGACCTGATCTTTCCAGGGAATCAAGAATAATTACATTGGCCTAAAAGCTCAAAGCCTTTACATCTGGGCTTAAGTTACTAACCGCATTTGTACACGCAATTTTTGTTTAGTTTTCATCACAACTTCAGAAGCATTGTTAACTTAATAATTTGACATGAAATGATATATACTGGCTAACGGCCTTTCCATGGGCAACAAATTGAACAGGGATTAAAGATTAACTAGCTACTATAAGAAGTTTTCCTCCCTATAAGAGAAAGGGTGGGAATCCTATTAATTCAGCAATTAATAGTACTAATCATATTAATTCAGCAATTAATAGGGACAATAATCGTGGATGCGACACAGAAAGGCAAATATAGCTATAAGCATGGTGTAGGTAGATATCATGAAATGGGTTAATTTCTGGGGTCAGTTATGTTCTTACAGGAACAAAGCACACACTTGAAATAATTATAAGATATACATCGTAGAATATTCTAAAATTTTTAAGACAGACTTCTTACCTTCAGAATTAATCGCCTTGCCTCGCCTTATCGCAGGAGGGATCACACCTTCAAAAGATCGAGGCACACTAGTATTTTTCTCTGTCCCTTTGATGGCTGATTTTGCAGATCGCATATTGTTTACAAACTCATTATCATCCATGGATAATGAGCTAGCATTTATATTTCGTATAAACGATTTCGCAGATATAAGATTAGAAAGGTAATACTCCATTTCTGAATCAAGCTTTCAATGCCATCTAAAGAGGTGAATAAATTTAAGATTTGAATGCAATTGTGGAGGATTCGCCTGCATCAGTAATTTAGTACCGTTAATCCAGTCTTCACGTGTCAAAAGAGAAAACTTTGTCAAGTGAACACCATGGGAAAAAGTGAAGTCCTTAGAAAATGGTGAAAAAATAGTAATAATAATAACTTGAAATGTATAACTTGTAAATTGGTAAACAGAATCATCATTCACAAACTCATTTTATCACTCACCAAGCAGCAATATATGACAAGATAGACAGAAAGAATTTCCTACAGAATATTTATGCTCAACAAGCACCAAAGGAGAACCTGGCCAGGTTTGAAGTTTCTATGGAATGTAACACTATGATGTTGGCGGGTAACATAACTTGCATACATATAAAGGGACACTACACTAGGAATGGATGATTAGCTTCTGTAAACCATAACTTGTTCAACAACTAGAAGCAAACTAAATGCTACGAACTTGTTAAAAGTTACATGTATGACAACAACTTAAGGGGAAGTTTTCTTTGTCAGAAACACATTCAATTGAAAATGTTACTCCAAGCTTGGTGAGTGAAACTTTTTAGCTCATGTTCAGACGTTTGTAGTTTGCCCACTACTATTAGTCATTGTTACCAGACTCAACAAATATGTGGGAAATCCTCGTCTCAGATAGAAAGTGTAAATGTTTATTTTAGACCTTTTTAAGATAGAGTTTACAGTAGACTCTTACCCTCAGAAAAGAATTCTCAAACTGTTTTAACCTAGAAGATGTAAAATAGAAAATGTACTGTAACATCACCCTATAGGATCGTCATGCTATGTTCAGAAAGCTTCAGATACTCTATTTAAAAACTTATCAGGATCATAACATGTAATTTCATCGTTTAGAAATATATAAAAAAAAGCCAACAATTGATTAGATTTTATAAACAAGTTTTCTAAAAGGTTAATAGCATGTCTAAATATTGTAAACAAGTTTCTACATTTAATAAGCATGTATTTTCAACCGTCCCCTGATCCATGAAACTTATAATTACCTCCCTAGTCTATATCAGCAACTTTCAGCACAATCTCAAGTTCCATCCAAAAGCGAGTGCCACGGAGTGCATATGATCTGCACTTTGCCTGTTATTCCTACAACACCTGTAAATTTTCAACGAACTGTGATAATAAGTTGAGGGGGAGAGTGGAAGGTATAGCTAGGGCTGGTGCTGTACACGATTAACTGGATCCAATTGGTTCCTAACCAAACTTGGGACCAATCCTGTACATGTCCAAAGTATTCAAAGTCAAGATACAGACTGCAACCAAAAGAATTTTTCGGTTGGGAAAATGATCGAATTAAAACAATATGGACCCCTACAGTCTTTATCAGGGTATGGATGGATTTAAAGGAGCCAAGCCCCACTGTCAAACTTTAACATGATCCGGAGATATCCCAAAAAGAGTCCATCATTCTTCCCTTTTTGTATTGTGTGTTTGTGTGCGCGCGTGACATATTTTAGTGAGCTAGCAATGGACTAGGTACATCATGATATCATTTGTAAATATCTTTAAATTTGGTATTTTCCATCATTTTTTGCTTTAAGTCTAATTCCTATTTCGATGCTCACTTAAATCGTTAAACTAACATATTCACATTTCAAAAACAGATGAGAGATGTTTGGAGAAAGAATTTCTCACATTCCTAAACATGAGGGTAAAACGCAATTAACCTTAATATAAGATTTGGTTTGTTATTAGGCTTTACACAACAATACCCCTTGAACCAAATATCAGATGAAAACAAAACAAAGAAAAGAAGGAAACAATTAAAATAATCTAGTGTATTCATTTCTCTGATGTTCGATTGATTCTTCCACAATGTGTGCATATATGTGGTGCCTTATCATAACCTCTAGGAAATCTGCAACCTTCCTCTGACTCACATCTGTGTCCTCTACCTCTGTCATGACCATTACCGACGACCATAGCTAAATACTCTGAATGAGATGTAGAGGAAACAGTAGAGCCAGTTCTACAAGAAACACACAAGACTCTTGAGAATGTCAAACAAAGAGTAGGCAAAGTCTCCTACTAGAATTTGACCACATACTTAATTTATCAGAGGGAAGGATTCAAACCAGACGGAAACTTTACTACGGGTTGTCCTTTACGATATTCGTTCAAGGTCTGCAAATAGAGAACAAGGGGTTAATGTAGTTCTAACTCATCCATTATTCCCTTCATCGCTGCATAGTAATATACCACAGATAGATCCCCTTGTTGCAATGTAAAAAGCTACTCATAGAATTCAAAAGCCCTAGATACATTTGTCTCATTTCACATATCTCCTATAGAATCTCCCACGTCAAAATTTGCAGATTTTAAGAACATCACATATGCAATAATCTTCTCCACACTGTTTAACAACCAGTCACTAACAGACCAGTCTACATATGTGCGGTCTTTTGGATCCGCTCCATCTGATATCTAGTGTTTCATCTTCGTTTTCTGAACCAATAAAATGACAGAATGATGGTTCCCACTAAGTGGTCTGCTCTGTTCAGCTTTATTATTGTTGCATTCAAATGTTACATTAAGTTATCTCTTCTTAGGGTTATGGACAATGCCATCTGGTTGCTTCATTCAAAGTTGCGCAGAGCTAGATCTCACAAGGTAGCATCCCAAAAGGTTTAGTCGTAGCCAAAGACCAAAGGATCATAACATGAGAGTTAGAACAAATCTAGATAAAAATTACAAGCAAATCCTTACTTCTGTGATCAGCATGCAGGCAATAAAAGATTGCAGGGCCAAAAGAAACATAAAAATGGATCCTACAGCTCGTGGAAGAAGAGAAAAAAATGAGCTGGTTGGATTCTGGAGATGACTTCAGGAAGATGGTGACAGAGTTCTGAACATCTAGTCAAAAGGAAGTCAGGACTGGAGCACATCATCAGAAGATGAGGGCTACTTTTCACGATCATCAATGTTAGTTACAGTTATGAGATGGACACCCAAATAAGTGGGTGGATAATATCTTATTCTAAGATAAGATATTCATAATCCTACTGAGCGTAGAATTTTATCTCTAAGCCCTTATATATAGATATAGGATTTTTCATGATGGGATATACAAAAAAGATACAAATAAATATAATACCTGTCATCTGCTTCTTCATTCAAATTCGTGCTTTATGCGAAAGTCGCGGGGTGATATGAGGGGGTTTCTCGCTGGTTGCACAATGTGGTTGTCCTCCGGCTGTTAATCAAG